AGCAGGTTTGGATTTGTGAGGTATTTAGAGGTGAAAGACAGAAGGGAGCTGGAAAGGAGGCTGGATCAGATCTGGGTTGAAGGAAGTAAGCTGTGGGTTACTACCCCGAGATATGTAGAGGCAAGAAAGGAGGTGCGAGATCAGGAACCTTCTCAAGGAGTTGAAAGGAAACCTCTACGCCGAAGTGGTGAAGAGCAAACAGGAGAAAGATCAAGAGGAGAAGGGGAGTAAGCAATTTACGGGGAATCATATGGAAGGACAGAGGATTATTAGAAGCCAAACCAGGGGTGAAATGGGAGTCATTGATAACAGAAAAGTGTGGCAAGAAAAGGGTAAGAGTGCTAATTGGGCTGGATTTGAATACAATGTTGATCCAGGGGAGTATGCGTGGCTTGAAGGATGTTATGTAGGAACAGTTTACTTGGTGGAAATGGTTAGAAATTTGCAGGAAAAATTTTACATGGAAGGGTACTTTGCATGCGAATCCGTGCAATGGGGGGAAAATTGGTGCTTCTTGATTGTGAGGACAAAAATGAGCTAAAAGACTTGGTGGAGTCGGCATCTGAGTGGTTAGGACAATGGTTTGCAGAAGTAAAACCATGGTCACCGGAAAAGGTGGCGGATGAAAGGTTTGTGTGGGTTAGGTGTCAAAGAGCACCCCTAAATGTGTGGGGAACAGATTTTTTTGAAAAAATGGGCAACTCATGGGGTAAATTCATCCGTTTGGACGACAACACAAGCCAAAAAAGAAGATTTGATGTAGCTAGATTTTTGCTCTTAACACCAATCATGAACACAATATCAGTCTTAAGACATATTAAAATTAATGGGGTCATGTACAATGTTAAATTTACGGAGGAGGAATTCACCAATAGTTTCTTCTCCTTGAAGCAGGATTTCATGCCAGCTTTTCAAAGCGAGTCTGAAAATGAGGAGTCTTGGTCACTAGATAGTGATAAGGAAGACACTGTTTTGGAAAAAATTGCAGCGATGGAGCAAGAGTTTAAGAGAGACGATAAGCTGGAGGAGGAAGATGATGAGGTGGCATACAGTAACGGTCACAATGATGGGAAGCTTCTATCACAAGATTTGCAGGTCAAAAAGGGGAGAATTGAAGTAGGGGTGGGGAGCTCGGTCCGATTTCAAAATTTAAATGAAGATTTTCACAGTGCAGCGGATAAAGGAACGTTGCAACAACAGGGGAAATTGGAAGTTGTTGTAGAAAAATTGGGCTTCAATGAGAATCATAGGAGAAGGCTGAAGAGTAAGCCCAAATCTGATGGAAGCAGCCCAAGCTTTGAGGAGTCAACTAATGAAGGTATGGGCCAAGGTCTAAGGGGAGTAGGCCCATCGGTGGGTCAAACTATGGAGATGAATAAAGACAAAAGAACTAAGGCTGTAATTTCTGAAGATGGGGAAGGGGATTCGGTCCAGCAGAAACTCGGTGTTGCAGAGGAGCAGATGCAATCTTCAAAGCAGATGGGGTCGAGGGGGGACAAGGCGGCATCTACCGTGGAGGAAGTGAGGGAGACGATCATGTGGGATCATGAGGGCGAAGAAGATCAGAAGCAGCTCTTGAATCAGGAGGGATCGAGGGGGGCCAAGGTGTCTCTGTCCGAAGAGGAAGGAAGAGATTCTACGCAGTGGGATCTTGACGGTGATGTGGAGCAGAGGCAGATCCTGAAGCAGAAGGGGTCGTTAGCACTTCAGCAAAAGAGGAAGAAGAAAATCAGGCTTTGCAGTGCTGTCTACCGAAGAGAGGGGGTTGCGGGTGTTGAACGAAGAAAAAAGAAAAAAGATGGAAGTGCAAAACAGATCCCGAAATCAAAGAAAGGTAGTTTAATGCCGGAATTCTTGGCTAGCCCAAATGGTGAGATAGCAAGGGAATCCATTGGAGATAGCGGAATAGAAAATTGTAACAGGGCTTGGAAGGAACAAATGCACAGCCACCTAGCAAAGGAAATTTGGGATTTAGCCATATAGTTGGGTGCTACAGCAGAGAAGGACGAGGTGATGGTGCAAAGAATTGAAGAGATGGAGAGGAGAGACAGACAAAAAAAAGGAAGAAATGGTAAATCGGGTAGCCGAGGAAGTTAAGAAGGTAAGTATTGAGATTAATGATACTGATGTCCTTTAATATAAGGGGAATATGAGGGGTGGGGAAGAAAAGAATTATTAAGGAGTTGGTTATTAAAGAAAGGATAGAGTTTTTAGCAGTGCAGGAGACTAAACTAGAAGTTGTAGATAGAAAATTATGTAGGAGAGTGTGGGGCAGTGATAACTTTGGTTGGATTTTTAAACCTTCAGAGGGCTTATTTGGAGGACTTCTTTGTATTTGGGAATCATCTGTGTTCAAAATGATGGAGGTGATTGAGGGCCGTTCTTTTATGGGGGTGTTTGGGGTATGGGGAGAAGAGCAGATACCAGTGCATCTGATTAACATATACTCTCCATGTACTCTGGCGAGCAAAAGAGAGTTGTGGGAGGAGCTGGGTAATTTGATCAACAGAAGGAAGGGAAATTGGTGCTTAGGGGGTGATTTTAATGCTGTCACAAAGGTTGAGGAGAGGGCGGGGTGTAAAGATCCAACTACAGAGATGAATGAGTTTAATAGCTTTATCCAGGATGCGGGATTGATAGATTTACCATTGATAGGCAGAAAGTATACTTGGTATAGCTCAAATGGTCGACAGATGAGTAGAATTGATAGATTTTTGATATCTGCTGATTGGTTTGAGAAGTGGAGTGATATGAAACAGTGGGGTTTGGGCAGAACAGTGTCAGATCATTGTCCGTTGGTACTGAAGAACGAAAAAATAGACTGGGGACCAAAGCCGTTTAAATTCTTCGATGTGTGGCTGGAGCAACATGAATGTAAAGAGCTGATAAGAAAGGCATGGAATCCTACAGTGGAAGATGGGAGAAAGGGTTTCAGACTAAAGGAGAAATTGAAAGGAACTAAAAAAAGCCTTGAAGGAGTGGAGTGGCAACCACATGTCGGAAGTAGACCGCAAGATAAAAGATGCTGAAAAGATGATAGCTACTCTGGATGAGAAAGGAGAAATCGTCTAGCTATCGGAAAAAGATGCAAACAAGAGGAAAGGCTGCTTCTTAGATCTGTGGGAGAACTTGAAAATCAAGGACAGTATGTGGCAGCAGAAATCAAGGAAGATGTGGCTAAGAGATGGGGACGCTAACACAAAATTTTTCCACAATTGTGTGAAGGGCAGATGGAGAAGAAATGAGATTAATAGCATTCAGGTTAATGGGAAACAGATTCGGGAGGTGGGGGAGTTAAAAGTAGGAGTGGCAAAGTATTTTCAAGATTTGTTCACAGAAAGTAACTGGCTGAGACCAAAGCTGGATGGCATCAACTTCAAACAACTATCCCATGCAGACAATGAACCCCTTATGGCTGAGTTTTCTGAGGAAGAAATCAAGAGTGCAGTGTGGGATTGTGAGCCAACAAAATCCCCAGGGCCTGATGGGTTTAATTTCAAATTTATAAAGGCTATGTGGGAGGACATCAAACAAGATATTATTGGCTATATCCAGGAATTTCATGATCGAGGCAAGATAGAAAAAGGAGCAAATGCATCTTTCATAGTCTTAATCCCGAAGATTGAGAATCCCCAAAGAATTGAAGATTATAGGCCAATCTCGCTCATTGGAGTCATGTATAAGATCTTGGCAAAGCTGTTAGCTAACCGACTGAGGAAAGTTCTGGATAAGATCATCGGGGAGCAACAAATGGCATTCATTAAAGGTAGACAGCTGCTGGATGGGGTGATCATTGCTAATGAGGTGATTGAGGAGGCAAAGAGAAAGAAGAAAAACAGCTTTTTACTCAAGGTTGACTTCGAAAAAGCATATGACAATGTATGCTGGGATTTTATTGACTACATGCTATTGATAATGGGATTTACTGCCACATGGAGAAAATGGATGAAGGAATGTCTACAGTCGAGCACAGTTTCAATCCTCATTAATGGAAGCCCAACAAGGCAGTTCCCGGTTAGTAAAGGGATAAGGCAAGGTGACCCACTATCGCCCTTCTTGTTTCTAATAGTAGCGGAGGGATTGAATGGCTTAATGTTATCTGCGGTGGGTAAAAATCTTTACAAGGGGGTGAGGATTGGAAACAAAGAAGTGACGGTATCACACCTCCAGTTTGCAGACGACACGATATTTTTTGGCGAAGCATCAAAGGAAAACATTCAAGTTATCAAATGCATTTTGAGGACCTTTGAGTTAGCTTCGGGACTTAAGATTAACTATGGTAAAAGTCAACTAATGGGTATCGGGGTTGAGGAAGATTGGAAAAAGAGAATGGCTTACACCCTTCACTGCAAAGAAGGCGAGCTCCCTGTCAAGTATCTGGGAATTCAAATCGGAGGGAATCATAGAAAGCTAATAATGTAGCAGCCACTGGTGAACTCCTTCAAAAAGAAGCTAGCAAGTTGGAAGGGCCGGGACTTATCAATGGGGGGTCGAATCGCGCTTATAAACTCTGTGTTGTCCAGCTTACCGGTGTTCCAAATGTCAGCCTACCTATTGTCCAAAGGTATTCTCTACTCCCTAGATAAAATTTGTAGAAATTTTTTATGAGGAGGGGAGGGAGAGGGGAAGAAAATTAATTGGGTTAGTTGGGAGAGGGTATGTAGATCAAAGGAGGAGGGAGGTTTAGGAGTAAAAGATTTGAAGAAGTTTAATGTGGCATTGATGGGAAAATGGTTGAGTAGGTTGGCAAATATGGAAGAGGGCTTGTGGAAGAGTGTCATTGTAGGAAAATATGGAGCAGAAAGGGGACACTGGCTGGATTGGGTGCGTGATGGCAGGAACATAGGATCGCTATGGTGGAGAGATGTCTGAAGACTCAAGGCCGAGGAGGGAGTGAACACGAGATGGTTGTGGGAGGGTTTTAGGCTGAAGATAGGGGAAGGGAGAGGTGTTAAATTCTGGTGGGATTCATGGTGCGGGGAGGAGTGTCTAGCTAACAAATTTCCTAGACTGTATTTACTGTCAACAGGGAAAGGAAAAGAATGTCATGAAATGGGTAATGCGGAGAGGGCCACATGGAAATGGAATTTAACATGGAGACGGAAATTGTTTGAATGGGAAGAAGAAGCAGCTCGAGAACTCAAAGGGATGATTGAAGAAGTGAAGATCACACCAGGCTGCCCAAATAGATGGGAATGGAGTCATAGCAAGGAAGGCCAATATTCAACAAAAATAGCTTATCAAAGGCTTTCAATGCCAAGGAAGAATCCAGAGGAAGAAAAAATCTTCAAAAGGGTGTGGAATCCCATCGTCCCTAGTAAAGTGGCCGCGTTTAATTGGAAAACATTGCTGGACAGAATCCCAACCAAGTTAAATCTGATCAAAAGGGGAGTTATCAAAGATATGGCTGAAGGGAATTGTGTCTTATGCGAGGAAGAGATCGAAGATGCTGACCACCTGTTCTTAAAATGCAGAGTAGCTAGAAGATTGTGGCAAGCATGCGCAAACTGGTGGGGAACAAACTTTACACTTCACAGAGATTGCTGGAAAACATTTCAACATTTTGGGACATGGACTACAAAACCACACATTTCAGAAGGGTGGGACTGCATTTGGAACACAGTCTTGTGGACTATATGGATGGCACGAAACGGGTAGGTTTTTCATGATTCAAAGGTAAACAAAAGCAATCTTTTTGAACTTATTCAATTGAGATCTTTTGCTTGGGTTAAAGCAAGGAAAGCTAGGTGTTATTTCAGTCTTTCGGATTGGATGATTGATCCTACTTCTTGTCTGTTAGTAAATTGTAGACGAAAGTAGTAATGATTCGAAAGATAGGAGTAACATTGAAGGGCTGGCTTTTTGTATTTGTTGTAAGGGTTTGAGTACCCCTTGTACTCAGTTTTTTTCATCAATGAATTATCCATTTGCTGTTAAAAAAAACACTTTAAATGATCCAATTCTTGGGTTCCAATGGTTAGTAAAGGAGTGAATATTTTAAACTTCGAATATAAATCATAGAATTCCTTCATTGACTCAAAACATTTTTTTAAACTCGTCCATCAACGAAAAAGAAAAAAAACCCTCACACTTGAACAATTTTTTTTAAAACAAATTTTTTGGCAAGAAAGATAGATGAACACCAAAACACTTTTTACCCTGTTATTTTTTAAGTGAACCACCCAAACTTTAAACAATGAATTTATAAATTCAAAAACTTATGAAAAAAGCTTCAAGTTTTGTTCAAAGATAGAAGTAAAGGCATCCATCTGGACCACACTCAAAGCCAACATAACTTCGATCCCACCTTCTTCATTTCTACACTCAGAAATCCCTAAAGTTCCGCCAGAATCAATGTGAACAAAATCAACCTTTTCAGGTTTTCCCCATCCAAAATCAACATCATATATACGCATCTTCGGTGACCCTGAAACTGCGGTGAGATGCCCTGATCGGACCATTTCCTCCAGCTTCGACAACCACCTATCAGCTCCCTTTAGTAGTTCCCCCTCCATCTCCTTCACTTTGCTTCCTATTGCTTTCGCCGCCATGAGAATCCCATTCTTCCCAATAAGCTCACTCTTCTTCACTTTCACGATCCCAGGCGCTGTACAGTTTCCAAAGTATGTTGATGACAACGGAAACTCGTTCACACGGTCCCGACAATCCACAGCAAAAATAAAATAGTACATGGAATTGTCGTCAACGTTACCGGATTCATTCTTCTCAGATTGGATCAAGCAAACCCACATGAAGGCGCAGGTCAGAACAAAAGTGGATACATGAATTTGTTCAGAGGTGGTATTATTCATGCATAGAGTTCTGACCCATTGTTTAAGTTTATTGATATGAGCCTGGGTCATTATGAATGTGGATCGGACCATGTTGGGCTTTTCATCATGGTTTTGGACTGGGTTCACCCTCCCAGATGATATCCATTTCCAATACTCCTCTAGGAAAATGGCGTCACACCCACAAGGGTCTTTAATCACCTCTCGACTATGAGAAGGTAATGACTTGGGGTCAAGGCATGCTAGTTCTCCTTTTGACTTACAAACGGACGCCCATGATCTCATGAAATGCATCAAGGAAATCCCATCGGCTGCCATGTGGCAATGTGTTACCCCAACACAAATTCCAAAGTTTGGGAAAACAGTCACCTGTAAGGCCATGATAGGGAATACATGGGTGCCATCAGATAATAAACGTGCGACAGGCAATTGTGGGACAAACGGGTGTAACAGTTTGACATCTCGCAAGTAATTAGCTTTGAGATGGTTGAAATCTTCAGTGGATTCTGCAACACTAAAAAAGATAGAGTCGCCTTCAATATAGCGGATATCGGGCTTGAGGGGTGCCGGAGGGCAATAGATGTTAGCAGCAAGAGGGAAGAAATATTGTAGAGTTAGGGAGAGGGAGTGTTTAAGAATGGGGAGAGTAGTTTCTGTGAAGTGTAAGGTAGGGTAAGGGTGATGATAGAAGAAAAGGCTGTGCATTGGAGGAGACTGGAACCATGGTATGTCAAAGAATGTTATAAGAGGGAGAGTTGTTGGGGGAATAAAGCCAACTGGGGGAGAAATGTAGCTCTTCTCAAGAATCTTGAAGGTGTGGGATTGTGCCATTTTTTATATGAGATGGAGTGCAAAAAAGGTTGGAGAATTTATAAAGAATGTAAAGAGTGAAGATAATGTGGTGGAATATATAGAAAGCAAGTACTTTGGAATATATAGAAAGCAAGTACTTATAGTGGATACTTGAATTGTAAGGCAGAGGAATGCTAGCTGCACTCGCCTTTCTCCAGCACTCTCCAACACTCCCTCATCTAAAATAGCCACGTGAACTTTTCTAGTTGGAAACTTTGAATGGCGAGCCAAATTTTGTTACGTGGACATTTTACATGAGAGAGTGTTGGAGAGTGCTGGAGAAAGGCGAGTGTAGCTAGCATTCCTCTTGTAAGGCATATATGCAGCAACATCTAACCTTAACATTTTAAATTTAAATGCTGAAAGATAAATAAAAAGTTGGACCTTGTAATGTAAGCCAACTCCCAACTCCCAACTCCCAACTTCCCCAAGGTTTTTGCCACGTGAAGCAAATTAAGGTAGGTTTGTCTAACTTGTGGTTTTAGGATACAAATTAAGAGTGTATTAAATATATTTTTTTTTATAAATTTGTATTGAAAAAATAAAAATTAACATTTAATTTATCAACTATCCAATTAAATTCAGCTGACACTAAAATTAATATCAAATTTTACATTTTCTATACACATTTATTATAAAAAAAATATTCTTAACTTATGCCCTAAAAGCACATGTTGAAAAAATCCAATTAAAATTGTATAAAAGGCCTTTTTATGAATAAAAATATATTAATAAGAGTAGAGGGGATATTTCAATCCTTAAAATTTGCGTAGCAAAGTTACAGAGCTTTCGTCTAAACAAAATTACAGAATGTATGAAAGGATGAGCATGATGGACAGAAAGAGGCAAGGTCTCAAAGTTGGGATTATGACACATCATTTTATCTATCCAACTTGTGCGTTGAACGTTTCAAACCTAAAATTCCTCACTCTCATTCCCATTGAACTACGTAGGTATTTAGCACCAGCTAGCAATAAATATTAATTAATAAAAATGAATGAGTTTGTCCCAAAGTCCATCCAACTAATACCAAGGATGCCCACAGCCAAATTCTCTCAACATCGCATTTAATCACTAATCGCGTTTCAAAATTTAATTTTGATCTTGCTCACCACAAAGGTAGCCATCCTGCGTGATAAGGGTTAAATTTGGTACAATCAGCTTTGACAAATATATATAATGAATAATAAAATGATAGACAACTAAACACGTTACATAGATTGATGTAGATAACAACATAATGCTAGGCATGACATGTGGCAAGCACTTCTATATAAAATCCCTACGAAGGGAAATTTGATAAAAAGAGGTAATTTACAGGACGAGAATGAAGCTATTTGTGGTCTGTGGGCTCAGTATTGAAATGGTTAATTATTAATAATATATTTAAGTTGAGGAAAATAAAAATAAAAAAAGAAAAAAAAATTTTAGTTAACTATTAAAAAAAGTTAAAGAGGAGGGGAGGAAAAAAAAGTCTTTTTTTAAAATTTTTTTCTTTCAATTTATTTATCTATTTAAATGAGAGGAAAAAAAGAAAGAAAAATAAAAAGATATAATTTTCCTTCAACTCTTATTCGTTCTGCTCAAATATACTTAAGTTGTTATTACTATAAAAAATTTGTTAATCATTTTTATATTTTCACTAATGTATCAATGGGTTATTGTTAAAACTATCCATTAATGTGGCTAACTACCCCATCATTTAAAATTTATTAATAAAAATTTAATAATATAAATTAATTAGATACAATAATGGAGATATTATTAATATGTGTAGGAGAAATTTTCTTCTACCATAATCAATCGATATTGTTTATTAAATTTTATTGTTATTAAGGTTCAAATTATATTGGGGCTCAAAAATTAAAAAAAAAATTAAAATTTTGTTAATATCCAAATAATTCTTTTATTTATCAATTGATTTTGATGTTTTTCTCAAGAAAAAAAAAAGCACCAATCACCTATCACTAATCACTAAGGCAAATTATTAAAATTGTTTAAATGGTTCTCTTGTTTTGATTTTATATAAATAGTTTTTGATATAGGAAAAATGTATCAATCATACCTATAAAAAAATTAGGTGAAAAAATACTTTAAAATTAAGCCATTTTAATAAATCTACATTGAAAAAAACTAAAAAAATCTTAATTTTTGAAATAGGTATAAAGTTGTTTTAGTTTTTCTTTTTCATAGTGATTAATTAA